GTGTGTGTGTGTGTGTGTGTGTGTGTGTGTGTTCTAACCATACACAGAGATAGCTTCTGATGGTTGAACAAGTTGCTAATATTCATTCTATTCACCTTTCATTTTATTTTCCGTCTGTGATTTGCTCTGAATGTTAGTGTTGTTGGTGTAAAGGCAGAAATTTCCAAAATTTTATTCTATCAAAGTCTAGACAAACAATTATATGACTTTACTAAGTCTCTCTTAAAAGACTAAGAACCTATTTTGCTTGTTGCTGTGTTTTTGTACATATACTACATACTGTACTACATACTACATATATACATACTGTTATAATAGTGGATGCTCATATTAAACATGGTTTTAAGTTATAAGCAAGTACATTTACACTTCCAGTGAAGTCAAAAGCCCAGGCTTCAAACACATCTAAACATTCAAGCTACACAACAACAGTTCTGTTGTGTTGACTTTGGTTAAATATTGACAAGGTGTCAACACCACACAAGTGATTAGATGTCATATGAAGGTAAAAGGGAAAAAAAAATCAGTAATGAATGGAAAAGAAATCCATCTTACTCATGAGTCTGGTTTAGAAGTCCTTCAGTTTATTTTTCCTTTTTTTTAAAACCAGAAATCAACCTGAATTTTAAAAGCTGGATTAAAAAATGTAAAATTAAAACAACAATATCAACAAACACATAACACACAAGTGTAAAATTTACATAACAATTTTAAGAACACAGAAATGGAAGCAAAAACACTGGAGTGTTATTTTCACATACTCTAACAGTCAAGTTTGTTTTATGTTTGAGCTGCGTTAACGCTACCACTACATTCAGTGTGAATTCAAACTACACTGACAAGATCGGAGGTGACGGCATAAGTACTTCTCTGTAATGCCTCATAAAAGTGACTTTCAATAGGTTAACCAAAGTGTTTGCTTACCCTTTGTCCAGATTGACAAAAAATAAAAAATAAAAATAGTATTTTTCTGATCAGTGTCAATGTTTTAGCTGGCTCGTCAGCAAAAGAACTTACATGACACACTGTAGTTTTTCTTGTTGCAAGTATAATACGCGGGCCACTTCATAATCCTATTCAAAATCTAGCGAGAGTAAAAATTCACATTTACTAATGTACAATGATTAAACTAATTTAGGCAGTTTTAAATGAATTAGTTTTCTTTGGGAGATTTGTGTTAGCAACAAGTTATAACCAGCACTGCAGTTTACCCCGACAAACACAGTTGGTGTCATGACCAAATCAAACTATTAAACACTGTAAAAGGACAAGAGAGATTTTATTTAACAAAATAAACAAAGGTAAATTATTTTTACTCCAGCCTAACTTTGGAATGCTAACTGAACACAGAACCAGTAACTTTGCGAACTCCTTAAAAAGTCAGTCTGCTACGGCTTCGCTTCACAACAAGATCCTTACACCAAGTAATTCAATTAAGAGCCATTTCCTCAGTCTATTTTTACACAAACTGGATTGATTTAAGTTCATTAGTGGTGACTCCCTCCAGCTCGATGTGCTCCCAAAGGTCACATGATGTCAGCCACATCTTCCTCACTTAAATTCCTAGAAAAAGGAACAGACAGCCTCTTTCAAATATGGAAAGAATGTAAGAACATTTTAGTCACCTGATGTACCTGATGCAGTACGCCAGTCGTTTGGTGTTGCTGTTTGAAATCTTAAATGTAAACTTCATCCACTGCACAGCATACTACACAAACGTCATACTACACCAGGAAGTGATGTACAGAAGCTGTACGTACTTTTTTTTGCATATTTGCCACAGTTACATGTTTCAGATCGTCAACTAAATTTTAATATTATTATTGCATTTATTGAGGGAATGTGTCCTCATGAACAGTGAATGAATCCATTAAAAATATACAGTATAGGGCTGGGACAGACCATAGGATAGATCATAATTAGCTCAAGCTATAATGTTAACATTTGTACATATGCTAAATGATCATACGGTCATGTATAATGTATATGTTTGTGTAATGGGGATATATTTTCATCATCATTTTATAATCATTTCCTTCTCCTCAAACACCACTGCTCTTGCTCCTCACCTCAAGCTTCTTCTCCTGAACTGCAGTCAGGGCTCTAACGTACAAAAACAGTGCATAAATATATTTATTCATTCCTGAAATTGTCAGCAGATTAGACATGCAACCGTCCCATCTCCAGACAGCTGAGCCGGCTAAACAACAACAGCTGGTTATGCCAGCTAATGTTAGGCTCAAGTGGTTTTTAAAAAAAACCAAAAAAAAAAACCCACGTGTTAGATATACTTCAAACGCTGGCTAACAGTGGCAAAAACAGCAATGCTTACTGAGAGAAAAGTTCATGATATCCTTAGCAACAACTGTCAGTGGACAGTTTTCACTCATCAACTCATACTTTTGGGAATTTTCTCCTCCAAAATAAACAGAAATGGACACATGTTGACATCTGAGATAAACAGTAGGCTGACAACCTGCACTCACCGAAGATGAACGGTGGCCAGTTTTTATATTTGATCCAGGGTAAAAATTAAAACTCTGAAGTACATAAAGTGTTGATATTATTTAAATATTTCATATTATACTTCATATTATTCAAATATGTTCAAATTGAGTGTGTGCAAAAAAGTTTTTTTATACAGAAATAGTAGTAGAAACATGTTGGTGGTCTGGAGCAGTTACAGAGTACAGTCTTAAATTCTGATAAAGGTGTTTGTCCTACAGCAGCCTCCGTAGCTAAGGTTATGTGCTTGTATTGGGAGACTTAAGATGGAAATACTTTTTCACAGCACTGTACATCCATCAACTGAGAGCATCGTGATTTGCTGCCAATCTGTAATGGGTGAGAGTGTAAGTGAGCATGTGGACAATCACAACTAACACACTATAAATTCAAAATACACATTATAATACACTTCGCTTTAACATACTACCGTCTGGTCAGGAACTGTTTCTAATTATATTTTAAACACAAGGAGTTGAAGAAACTGGGAAAAAAGTAATAATATTTCGCATTTAAATGTACATTAAATGACACTGAACACACATTAAAACGTATTCAATATGAAAGCTTCTCTTCTTCTCCGGAGCTGACAGACTACACCTTACTACATAGAAACTTAAAACGTTAACATAGCATTAAAGTGGTACCCAGTGTGTTACAATGTGAAGGCAGGTGAATCCCCCACAAGCATCAGTATGTCAGTTTACTACTTTGAGAAAGACTGAAGAGCATTACAAATACTGAATACATCTATTTAATGTTACCTCTTTTTTTACCGTCGTTACTGCCGATGTTGATGATGAACCCGCTGGACTAAGATAGAAGAGAAAGAAAAAAAAAAACACCAAAAACAAAAACATTACAAACACATAGTTGGTTTAAAACACTATTTCACCAGCTTTTCACAACTTGTTGTGAATGTAATTCTATTAAACAATAATCTGTAACAGAATGTTTACTGTTTTTACAAAACATTTCTTACACTAGGTGCTAAGACATTAGTAGCACACATCCATGTTCTGCAAGTTGTGTGCTGTTTTCTTTCCCCAGCACATTCCACAGATATTAGATCTGACTGAAATCTGGGCAGTTCAGAAGCCAAATAACAATTTGAGCTCTTGATATGTTTTTCAAACCATTCTCGCTTCATCATGCTCATAGAGATGTCTGCAATCAGGGCATACCTCTGCCATGAACGGGTGTCTGCTGTCCCCAACAATTTTAGGAAGGTGTGAAAAAGTGAAGTGTTAAATTTAACTTCAGCATACATGTCAGGATCCAAGGCTTCCTGGCATGAGAAAAAAACGGTTTCTCCTCTGGTTTGAATTCTTCCTATACTGCCTCCCACTGACACCTGCTAATCGGGTAAATGACCGGGAACATTCATCCATGTCATATGGTAAACATTATCCACCTCCTCCATTATCCACCTTATCCTAGGTTGCACCACAGTCTAGCTCAGTTAATTAGGTCCTTTCATTATTTCAAAATTGCTCTAACTACTCTACACAGCCACATATACAGGAAACGCTATGTTTATGCTCCAGTACTTTCTGTGGGATCAGACAGTCAGCACCAACTGGGTACTAGCCACTGCATAGCTGGAACACCCCAAAAGATGTCCTGACAAAGCCAAGACATCATCTTCAAAAACTGAATGTTTACGAGCTGCTTAGCCTCCCTTTTTGTCGTGTTTATATAAACTGAACATCAATTTCAAAGAGAACACTCTAAAGAACAATGAGGATATAATCTTTCTTTGATAACACTCCCACTAGTTCTTCCCATTTGGACACTGTTTATTTATAGCAGCTACAGGGTGAACGGCAAGGACCTTAACTTGCAAATCAAAGCACATGTGTGTCTTTTTCCACCTCACAAAAGGGACTGTGAAAGGGGGCGGCCTAAGAGAGCCCATAGGAACAGGTTTTCCATCTCTCCACGAGTGTGTGTGAGGCTATTTTACTTCTCACACACTCGTAACACACAGTCTGCAAGCTCCAAATGAGAGCAAACCAAGTAAACTTGAATTTATAAATAATTATCCAAAAAGTAGAACACCTGACACACAAAGTGACAGATTTACCAAGTTGGAAAAATCTGAGTGATATCGCAACCGGGGAAAAAAAAAAAAAGTAGGAGTGGAAAGTTTATCCGACTAACAATGCAGCCACTTACGAACACACATGCATAAATTTGACATATTCAAAGTGTCCTTTATTAAATGTTGCGGTTGTTTACAAGTACACAAAACATAGCCAAGCATCAGATCCCAACTGATCCACATAGTAATGCTTCACCAAATTACTTCTGTATGTTGCATGATGCTTTAGGTATTTATAAAAGTCAGAGAAAAGACTCTCACACAGAGCCAGCTTTGGGCAACAGTAATCCCAAATTACATTCAGTGACACCTGAATAGGAAGAACACTATTCAATCCAGTCAACATTTTAATGTATTAATTAATTGCATTTTATTTATATAGCACCAAGGTACAACAACTTTCGCCTCAAGGTACTTTATACTGTAAGGTAAAGACCCTACAATAGTAGAGAGAAAGCCCCAACAATCAGCACTATAAAGCAAGCCCTTGGTGACAGCAGGAATGAAAAACTCCTTTTTAACAGGAAGGAACCTCTAGGAGAACCAGGCTCAGGGAGTGGCAGCCATTGTGTGTGGGTCAGGGTAAAGAGATGAGAGCAAGGACACAGAATAGATGCTGGATGCCCTTCCTGATTTGTGTTTCCAGCTGAAATTGAAGCCAGTGACCTTTCGCTTACCAAGCCAACATGTTAACTACTACGCTACCAACATATCTGTTTGTATCAAAACAAAAGATCTTCAAGTTAAGGATTCATAGAAAAAAAAGAATAATGAAACTGTTTTTTTGCACATTAATGTAAAAAATTAAAACTTTGAACCTTCGGCTGCTTTTCACGTGTTACCTTGCCTATTGCAAACAATAGTAAATCAAGTTGTGTTTATTTTGTATATTAATAGGGAAACCATTACAGAGACGTATGCAATTACTTAGATCAGCCCTCAAAATAACTGTGTCCAAACCTTTCCAACTCAAAACTTACCAATATCTATATCGTGGTTTTGTAACTGTCAGATCAAGGTTTTACTATATGCAAGCTATTCATATTTTTAAACCCTAGCTCTTCTTCTGCATTTGCAAACAACACCTAAAAGCACATAATTTATTTTTAATAAAGGGCAATCCATTTTAATTAACATTGCTTAAATGTGTCACATTTAACAATACAGGGTACTATTCTTCTACAGCTTGCAGTACAAAATTTAATCTCATTTCAGAGTTTAGGAAATCATATTTAGCATTTATTCAAAAATGTAATTAAGATTTTGCAATGCTGAGTGGGTTTTTGAGAGCCTTCTAGAGCATTGATTGTATTTAGCTGCAAGCTGTCTGTGTCCAGCTGTCCAACAGTAGTTCAGAAAATCATGGCATTGTCTTAGGAGTAAGATTGCTATTTATGATCTGACTGACTGTCTTTAATTTTACAGGGAAAAAACAACATGTACACAGCTTTACAGACAATGAGTTGTACACATGAATTTGTTAAATCAGTCTCACCTTCTGCTAAGCTTTTTTAAATGAACATCAGCTGTCATGTAAAAATATATACATGCATGCATGCATACCTGATAAGAAAGCATTTACATACCTGCCGACTTGCCTGGAGGCGTTTTCAAAAAACTTTGTTTTAGATGCAACGCTGGGGAAAAAATAGTAGAGATGTTGACACTGTACACAGACAATATGATGCATTTAAGATTTAAAACTGCCATCAGTCATTGCTGTTGCAGCTGTGGTCATTTATTTTAAGCAGAGCCAACATGCTCTGTATTATTATACTCTAACAAGAAAAACAACTTAAATCTGACAAATCTTATTTTGGAGGCAGCAACAGATACTATCTTTATTTAGTAATGTGGCAATTTTTTTGAAGCAAACAGTTGCTTATTTAGAAACATTGGTGAGCTGCAGTCACGTTCCTTTCACCTGATGAATGGAGCCTAGTTCATAACTATCTTTTTATTTCTGTTTTTGTTCTCTTCCACCTCCAGAGGTGGGGAGAAAAAAATAAAATAAATAAATAAATAAAAATCACAATACGCTTCATTACAGTTCCTAAAGTTAATTCAATCAGCTGTATAGCTCTATGGCATTAACTGAAGACTTATGTGCTGTGCAAGGTATCTTAAAGAGACATCATGATGACATCACTATCAGTAGTCTGCAGCGATGACAGAACAGATTTGTGGTTTCATTGTTTTTATTCCAACTTGTGGCCTGTCTCTCAGCATTAGTGTCATAATAACTATTATTTTGTGGTTTAATTAACATGGCATTGTGCACTGCTGAGTTACTGGAATTTTCATGTCAACCACAATTTAAGCTCAATAATTTTGCACACACTGCAGTTAAATATATAAGCATGTGTTGTAAGACTTTTGCATGTATGAAGAGTACTTACTAGGATGTGGTTGTGCCCTCACTGCTGGCTGTAGTTGGAAGCTTTTGTGGAGCGGGGAACCTGGACGGTGGCTCAGGAGGCCTAACTGGGGGTCTACATATCTGCTGTTTCTCTGTAGACCTTGTTCTGGTCAGACCATCAGAATCTCCTGAAAAAAATAACCCTTTTTTCAGGAGATTTCAGGAGATTTCAGGAGATTGTGGGTTGGACTAGTTCACATAAAGTGCATTTGTGCAGTTATTTATCTGAGATAAACTCCTGATATATTCAGTAAAGACAATACACTTGACATTACAAGTGAAAGCATGAAATTATGTCATGTAATACTGATATTTTAAACACCACAAGCTGTAGAAAAATAGTGTAATCAACATTTGCTTAAATAGATTTTTTTTTTCATCAAATAAGGCTTTTATGAGTGCATAAATACTATAAATGGGCCATCTTAGGCCACTGGTAACTAAAATCAACACTTCAATCCATATGATGGACAGTTAACACATGAGAAAAAGCTTAAAATCTGCAACCAAGCGACTGCCATGCTTCATTGCTTCATTCACTCTAAATGCTTGCATAACACTCTGCTTCATAAATTAACTCTGGAGATCTTCTACTATGATTGCTTCTTGCCATCGAGTTCTTTTTAAACAAATAAAAAGCTCAGTTTAAACTTGTTTACTTCCCAAGGTTATAGCAGTGTATAATTAAATAATAAATTGACAGACACAGCGGCATCAAAGTTACAGCCGTTGTACAAGCTGAAACACACAAAGTCGTAAACCAACACAATAGGCATGATTGTTACTATTAGTATAAAAGTAAAAGAAACATGTTAATGATAAAAGAGCAAGTCAATGGAAAAGATTAATGATTTTTAAATGCTACATGTAGCCACATGCATTGCCTGAGAATGTTGAACATTTTCTTCCAGACTCGACTACCCAGATCTTGGCCATAATAAACTACCACTTTGCTTTTCATACTCGGTGTATCCCTCTGTCCTCTAAGAGGCCTTTTTTCATTGCTGACGAGCATGTATGAGATAGGGAATTTTCCATTAAATCACCTTCTTTGGTGGTTGCTCCTTTTGCAGGTGTTTTTTTGCCCTGAAAGGATGGCACCCTGCTCACGTAGATCCCAGGCTCCCCATTCCCTGCTGAAGAAGCATCAGATTCTGGTTGCCTGTCTTGACGGATAGCTGCTCTGGGTACTAATACTTGTCTCCTTTGACGCTGTATGGGAGTGGGGCTCACTGGGTTTTCATCATCCACGTTGGAATTGTCACTCTGACCATCTGTTACAAAGAAGCAACATTAACAGTTTGGTTGCTGTAAATTAAAAGCATGAAGTTATATGGAAATATTTTACTCTGTGACGTTAATCTGGTAAACTTGTACTATTATTAGAATAATTACAATGCACAGAAACTGATCATTCGAGCTCTGGATTAACCATATAACCGTGTTATTTGGCCACATAACGCACACAATGCAAACATAGCAAGCTGCATGCACCCAAACTTTCTCTCGCACTGTCTATGAAAAGACAAGAGTTACAGCCACTTCACTTAGCAACAGATTCAATAAAGCAGTAAATTGAATGATTTAGCCTGAGTAATTGACAAAAAAAAAAAAAAAAGATTAACGTGAGATCAAATTGTAGATACATTTATTTGTGCTCAAAATTAATTTTTTTTTTAAAAAAGGAAGCACCAAATTATTTTCTAACAACATTTGAAGATGATACAGATAGAGAATCATAATAGAAGAGAAACAGAATAGAATTTAATTTAACAAACAAATTCCAAGTTTTGAAGTATGTAATAACTGCTTTGCC